CTTCGCACTTGCAGCTCCGCCCCCGGCTCCTCCGTGCCCGCCCCGCCCTCAGCTCGAAGCCCAGCGACCAGTCACGAGTTAGCCGTCACCGACGGGGCGGGGAAAACCTTGTGGTAGTCACAGGGTACGGCTTTGAAGAGTCCCGAGCGGCTTCTAGGTTGGGAGAAATGGGCGATTCCTATCCTGTTTTTCCAACATCCTCTGCCTTCGGGTTCTGCGGGGCTCCTCACGTTACGATCTGCGCCTACCGAGGGGGAAAAAAATATGGGAAGTTCTTGGTCTTTGAAAGGGGCAGGATTCGTCGCCACTTTCAGCGGCACGTCGCCCTGTGAATCAACAGCAGGTCAGGGCTGTGATTTATGTGGCTCAAAGTGATGACGGCGCCCGTTTTTTTTAAACCCGAAAGGATATTCCGGGAAGCTTAACCAGGCTGAAATCCTTAGGCACCGGGGGCTTCAGTCCCGTGGAACAGAAGAGCTGGAAAGGGCTACTCAGTCGTGGCCCACCGCCGGCAGACACCGGCAAGGTGGTCCAGCCTGGGTGACACCACTTCCCTTGAGGATCAGGCCTGGAAAAGACTGCCCAGCCTGTAAGCCTCGGCACCTTAGTTCCAGAAGCCTGTTTGGCGGTTTACCGCCTCGAGCACCACCCTATGAGCTGGTTTGAGCTCAGTGAATCTCACTTTGCACCGCAAGGACTTCAACTTGGGGCACCAAGAATGAATGCTTGTGGGTTACGAAATCTTTTTCTTCGTGCGTCTTAAAATACAGCCTTTGTTTAGGAATGGCAGTAAATACCTTACATTTTAGTGTGACTGGATTAATCAGCTCGAGTGCTGGAGACACTGGATTTGGAAATAAAACCTTCTGGGTGGGAGTTGGTGCTTTGTTACTACCTAAGAGACTTTGGACAAGGCATCTAAACATCTCCGAGCTCTAGTTTGTGATGAGAGTAATTATGCAGTGATAGGATGATGCTAATACCACCACTATTGATGACTGAAACCTGCTTGGTAGTCTGTTAGGTGGTTTACGTGGATTATCTCACTGACTCCTGTATGTCCAGCCAATATTTTGTCTACCATATAGATGAGAAAACTGTGGATTAGAGACATTGATTTACTTCAGACTATCCGGTGGGAAGTGGCAAAACTGGCAGTTGAGGTCTGTCCTGCTCCAAAAACCCAGTCTTTTTTTTTTTTGATATGTTTGTTATAAGACAAATCACACACACACACACAGGGGAGATGGCCATGCCCATAATCCCTTCTCCATTCTCCTCTGGGATTTTGAGGGGGAGAATGTACACACACACACACACAGTGTGACCCAAAACCTAGTCTCTTAATCACTGTGCCAAATAATAAGGGCAAATGTTTTCTTGGAGCAGGCCTGAACCTTGAAGGTGAAATAGGCCAGGGATAAGATGATCATTGGGTTTCCAGGATGGATGGTGTGTAGGTAAGGTAAGATAGCTCTTGGCTAACTGTGCAGTTCAAGTCCCAAACCCAGTGACTTGAGAATCACGCCTGCTGCATGTGCATGCGTGCCGGAAACACCCAGCCTTCCTGCCTGTCTTCCTTTTTGTCTCTGTCTCTCTCTGACCAGTTCACATGCCCTATAACAAAAACTAAAACAAAACACTACATGCTAAGTAATCACAGTCTTAACCATTACTAAGAAATTGCTACCATATAGACCAAGGGTTGGCAAGCTGTGGTTCACAGCCAAATCTGACCAGCAGCTGGTTTTTGTAGGTAAAAGTTTTACTAGAATACAGCCCTCCTCATTTATTTACATATTGTGTTTGGTTGCTTCAGTGTAAAAAAGGCTGAGTTGAATAGCTATGATGAAGACCTTCTGACCTGCAAAGCTAAAGGTATTTACTGTCTGGCACTTGGCAGAGATGCCAGTTTTTAATGTTGCAGATCACATTTCTGATCATTATGCTAGAAATCAGTAGTAAAGATAGGTTAGAAAAAAATACGTAATTAAAAACATTTAAAAAAAAAAACCTGTAATTCAGACACATAGTTGAAAGGAGACAGTATATATTGGTCATTGGGAAAGTCATGATGCATTTTTGCATAGGAAAATGAAAATATGTCGTGACTTTTCTGACGACCCCTGAGAAATTACTGATAAACATTCACATATCAAAAGGATATGTGGGGGCCGGCAGGTGGTATAGTGGTTAGGCGCTGGACACTCACACATGGTCGACCACAGTTGGAGTCCCAGACCTGGTGGCTTGCATTCTCTCTCTCTCTCTCTCTCTCTCTCTCTCTCGTCAAAATAAATGAATAAATAAAATTAAATAATAAAAAAGGGGGCCGGCAGATGGCGTGGTGGTTAAGGTGGTAGACTCCTACATGGCAACCATGGTTTGAATCTCAGACCTGGCAGCTTGTAGTCTCATTTTCTCTCTCCCCATCCTCTAGTCAAAATTTTAAAAATAATAAATGTAATTAAATAAATATTAAAAATAAAATAAGACTCAGGCACAGGGAAAAAACACTTTAAAAAAAAGGATATGTGGACTGGCAGTATACAAGAGCTGGCCGCTGGCATGGTAGTTAAGGGTGCTGGACTCCCATGTGGTCGACCATGGTTTGAGTCCCTGACCTGGCAACTTGCTTTTTCCCTCTCTCTCTTTCTCGTTCTGGTTAAATTAAAATAAATGAATTAAAGTAAGATAAAATAATTCTTTAAAAAAATCTTTTAGAATACAGCTAATGCCATTTATATTAAAAATAAGTTTATATTAAAAAATAAGAGGGGCCAGCAGGTGGTTTGGTAGTTAAAGACTCCCACATGGCTGACTGTGATTGAGTCCTGGGACTGGCACCTTGTTTTCTTGCTTTCCTTTTCTCTCTCTCTCTCTCTCTCTCTCTCTGTCCTTCTCTGGTCAAATTAAAATGAATCAATAAAGTTAAATAAAATAATTCTTTAAAAAAATAAGAAAGGCTGAATATAAATGAGCAATAGAACTAGTAAAGTATAAAAAAAGAAAATGCCTGGCAGAAATAAAGACACAAAACAGGATCAATACGATTTCTCATTTTCTCTTCATGTAACACCTGCCTATGAAGGAGACTGAGTTTTTAATAGAGTAATGTATTTTTTGACCTACATAATAGACTCCATGAGTAAGATGAAGAGAGTACAAGTTCTTTTTTACTAGTGATTTTTTTTTTTTCAGATAAAGTATAACACTTCGGGAGAGGGTCCCTGATTGTGTAGCAGAGAAATGTCTCCTGCATGCCAGCTTAGGTGGAAGAGGCTTTCGACAGTTGAGAAAGGGCATTGGTTAGAGAAAGGCACCACACCAACTTTCTTTGGCATTGTCTGTGCTTTTTCTAGAAACTATAAATAATCCATTGTGGTATTTACAGACTATTGTTTTTGTTTTGCTTTTTGTTAGAGGGTACATGCACTTGCCAGAGAGAGACAGACAGAAGGGGAAAAAAAAACGCCCTCCCCATAGGAAATGGTCACCCTATCATCCCTTCTCTTCCATTTCTCCCTCTTTTCAGGATATTGGACACACATGTCCCCCTTGTGTTTCTTTAGCCATTGGGCCCAGGACTTGAGCTGTGTGGTTGGCCATGTGGGATCTACCAGCCATCTCCACTTTTTTTTTTTTTAATTGTAGAAAACACATAAAGTTTACTTTGTGTTGAAACTAGTTACAGATGATATTTTCTAAAGCTGTAATCTTTAAACTTTAGCATGCATCAGAATTGCCAAGAAGCCTTATTAAAACACAGAGTAGTGGCTCTAGCCACAAGGTTTTTGTATTTATTAAAAGTTCCTGGGTGGGGGCCAGCAGGTGTAGTGGTGAAGGCGCTGGACTCCCACATAGCCAACTGTGGTTGGAGTCCTGGACCTGGTGACTTGCTTTTTCACTTTCTCTCTCTCTGTCTCTGTCTCTCTGGTGAGCACCCTAAAGCAAGTTTTAAAAAATAATATTGGGAAAGAATGTTCCTGGGTAATGCTGGAGCTAGTAGTCCTGGGACTGCCTGTTGAGAATCCATGTTGTCCAGGAGTGCTTGAAGATTTATAGAAAAGGAGAAAACATCGTGAGTTGCACATAGGGTTATTTCTCATGTAGTTAAAAAAAGTAATGACAAATCTCCCAGTCATGAGACCCTTTGGTTCAATAGATGTTAGAAAAGAATTCCTCATATAATAAAAACAAATATTTACAAGGCAAAAGTGGTAGATTAAATATGGCTGTAAATTCTTTGACAGTTTTCCCATTGAGAGGAGAGCCAGCTTCATGGCCTGGTGATTAATATATCTGGGAACCAGCAGTTATCGTAATGGCTATGTCGCTGGACTCCCATGTAGTCGACCGCAGTTCAAGTCCCAGACCCAGTGGCTTAAACTCACGCCGGGCGCGTGTGTGTGCGCGTGCCCAAGATCCCAAAAGGAGAATGGAGGAGAAGGGATTGTGGCGTGGCCATCCCCCCTAGGGGGTGATTTCTCACTTTCTGTCTCCTTGTCTCTTTCTGTCTGTCTGGTGAGTGCACGTGCCCTATAGCAAAAACCTCTCCAAAAAAAGAAAAAAAAAATTATACAAAACTTGGAAATGAAAAAGGATCACCATGTATCCTTTCAATATTATATTTCTATAAGCATGCCTAAAGGTCCTTGAAATTTCAGAGGGAAATTTTGTCTGACTTAGTATTTACTATTAATGAGGTCCCAGACTCAGTAAAATTAGATGTTGATTTATGGAAGATTAATAAATTGCAATTATTTTTGTTCAGAGGTGATGATCTCATTTTGGTAAGAGAGATAATCTTTTTCTTTTCTTTTCTTTTTTTTTCCAGTTTTGTCAGAGGGTGTGTGCACTTGCCAGAGAGAGATAGAAAGA